GGGAGGAGGAAATGAGAGTGAGGTGAAGTGGATGAGAAGGAGGAAGAAGAGAGGCACAGGGGGAAAGAGATAAAAAAAGGATAAGGAGGAGAAACGAGAATGGAGGAGAGGATGGAGGATGGAGAGAACATGGAATGGGAAGTGGATTATGAAATAAAGAAGAAAAGGAGAGAGAAAAAAAAGGAAAGAGGGAATAACACGTGTCCCTTGTAAACGCCATTTAAAACATTAACAGTCACGGCGGTACTTTCCTCTCGAATTTCCATGTGCGGCTCAAAGGGGAGTTACTGCTGAGGCTCGTCACTATTTTCATGAACATTTTGTAGAATGTTCCTCCTTCCCGCCTTCGATTACTCCTTTATTTCTTTGCTCTTCCCTCTTTCACTCTCCTTCCCTCTCCTGTTACTTCCATCTACTCTTTCTCCTTCCTCTTCCCTTTTCTTTCATCTCTTCTTCCTCTCACCTTCTCTTTCATCTCTCCTTCCTCTTCCCTTCTCTTTCATCTCTCCTTCCTCTTTTCTTCTCTTTCATCTTTCCTTCCTCTTCCCTTCTCTTTCATCTCTCCTTCCTCTTTTCTTCTCTTTCATCTTTCCTTCCTCTCCCCTTCTCTTCCATCTCTCCTTCCTCTTCCTTTCTCTTTCATCTCTCCTTCCTCTCCCCTTCTCTTTCATCTCTCCTTCCTCTTCCTTTCTCTTTCATCTCTCCTTCCTCTTTCCTTCTCTTCCCTCTCTCCTTCCTCTCACCTTCTCTTTCATCTCTCCTTCCTCTCCCCTTCTCTTTCATCTCTCCTTCCTCTCACCTTCTCTTTCATCTCTCCTTCCTCTCACCTTCTCTTTCATCTCTCCTTCCTCTTCCCTTCTCTTTCATCTCTCCTTCCTCTCCCCTTCTCTTTCATCTCTCCTTCCTCTCCCCTTCTCTTTCATCTCTCCTTCCTCTCCCCTTCTCTTTCATCTCTCCTTCCTCTTCCCTTCTCCTTCATCTCTCCTTCCTCTTCCCTTCTCCTTCATCTCTCTTTCCTCTTCCCCCAGTTCATCCCAACCCCCCCTCTCCGAGTCACCGCCTCTCATTCCTCCCTCTCCCCTCTTACCTCCCATCCCTCACCCCTCTTTTCCTTATCCTATTTTCCTCCCTCTCCCCCTCCACTCCCTCTCCCTTCCCCCTCTCCTCTCGTTCCACTTGACTCAGTGGCTTTGAACATTAATAAAGTTATCAAATCCGGGGACGCTTAATGGATCAGAAAGAGTTGATGAAGATAAAAAAAGAAAATAGAAAAAAGACATACTGAGCTAATGAATTTCCTGGAGATATATACATACACACACACACACACACACACACACACACACACACACACACATATATATATATATATATATATATATATATATATATATATATATATATATATATATATATACGTATATAAATACACATACATGCATACATACACACACTCACACACACACACACACACACACACACACACGCACACACACACACACACACACACACACACACACACACACACATATATATATATATATATATATATATATATATATATATATATATATATATATATATATCTTTTAAAGGAGCTGGAAGCAAATACCGTCCATCTTTAAATTTTTACATGTACAAATTACGATTACTTTTCATAAATTATGAGAGGAATGATGAGTGGTAATAGTAATAACAGCAATAACAACAACAGCATCAATGTTGAGAATAGTAATAGCAATAATGATGGTAATGATAAAAAGTAGTAACTACTGCTATTACTATTAGATATAAAAATTATGACATTGATACTTATTGATAATATCAGGCATAAAGACAAAAGATAGTTGTTGGTGATGATAATAACATTGATAGTAATAATGATCATGATAATGAAAGTAATAATGATAATAATAATGATAATAATGATAATAATAATGATAATAATGATGATGATGATAATAATAATAATAATAATAATAATAATAATAATGATAATAATAATGATAATGATAATGATAACGATAACAATAAAAAGGATAATGACAATGCAAATAAAGGCAACAATAATTGCAACTGACCCACGATACATAAGCACATTCACTACCCACCCATATTGTACACTGAAGTATGTATAGTGATTCTGAAGTTTGTATACTGACTATAAAGGGTGTGCAGACTTTTAAATATCTATAATGACTATGAAGTGTGTGCAGTGACTAAGCAGTGAGTACAGTGACTCTAGAGTGTGTACAGTGACTTTGAAGTGTTTATTAACTATAGATTGTGTACAGTAAATATGAAGTCTTTACAGTAACGAACAAGTGACTGTGGAATGTATACAGTGATATGAAACATGTACAGTGAAAAAAGAAATATATATGTCATTTGTACACACCAACTAAAAATACATGTAGCAATATCATATGCACTTACCAGTGAATTTCTAAATCAAGCCAAATTAGAGAGACTGGAAATAACATACGATGAAATAAACCACACAGGGGAAGAGGTCAAGTGGGGGAAATACACAAATAGCACTAACTAAAAATGAGAAGAAGAAAAAGAAAGTAATGATAATAAAATGAAAACAGAAATAGGAAATAGCTTAAACGAACCCAGAGGCAATCGCTGCACTTACCTTGAACGAAAATAATCGTGTCTTTGATCTTTAACTTGGCAGCTATAGATAATTTTCTTTGTCGGTAAAAAAAAGTAAAAAAAAATAGGAGTCATTTTTGGTAATGACTTATCGTCATCAAAAATTAATTTTGAAATGATCATGTTCAAGATTGAGTGTAGAATGACACTGCAATAGGAAAAAGTACGTGTGAATCTATTTGTGTATGTGTGTGCATCAACGCAGGCAGTTTAATTTGTCATTTTTATGTACGCATGTTTTCATTCTGTACTGCGCGTGTCCGGGCCATTCTGCATATCAAATCAAAAAATGATTATATCATAATTCAACCTCAGAAGCATATGAGTATATAAGATGTGGTGAACCAAAATGTTGAGAAGGTATGGATGAGAATGAATATCTTCACAATACAAGAGATTTATTTAAACGGTTTCGAATATATCTTCGTCAGAATTACATATATTTTTGACGAAGATACATTCGAAACCGACTAAATACATCTGTTGTATTGTGAAGATATTAATTTTCACGCAAACCTTTACCTTGAAAGATATGGTAAATATACGATTTGGACAAAATAAATACTCTTTATATAGATTCTCTTCATTTTTTTCTTTTATAATGGTCGTTTATTTAACGCACTTTTCTTCAACTACCTTTTACGTTCTTAATTCTCATATCAATGAAAGGACATTCGTTCCAAAAGAATCTAAATCAGTTGCTATACTTAGAACTTACAAAGAAGTTTTCCGCCTCCTTATTTTTTTCCCCATTGCAATCAACCGCTGAAAGAAGTCCTACACCCCTCCTCCCCCGTCCGTCACTATCCGTCTGGTTCCCCCGGGAAGCCCTTGACCCCCCTCCCCCCCCTCCGGCGTCCTGACCCCTCCGCAAGGACTCCCTCCCTGTCCACCCGAGGATGACTCTGGGCTTCGCGTTGCGGTGTCCTTCGGGATAAATGGGAGGAGGGGGGGGGGGGTTGAGAACATTTCAGGCCTTTGTTACCCCGGCAAGTATGGGGAATAGGTTGTGGGTAAGTGTGCATGTACTTATAGATACATACGCACACACACATATATAAATAAATATAAGTATCTACATATATAGAGGGAGAGTATACATATGTGTGCATGCACACACACAGACACACATAAAAATATATCTATGCGTGTGTGTATGTATATATGCATATATACACATACATATACAAGCATATATATATGTATGTATATATATTGACACCCCCGGCGTCCTGACCCCCTCCGCAAGGACTCCCTCTCTCTTCACCCGAGGATGACTCTGGGCTTCGTGTCCGGCGCCGCGGTGTCCTTCTGGATAAATGGGAGGGGGGGGGTTGAGAAAATTTTGGGCCTTTGTTACCAGGGCAAATATGGGGAATGGGTTGTGGGTAAGTGTGCATGTACGCATACATATATACGCACACACATATATAAATAAATATACGTAACTATTTATATATAGAGGGAGTTTATACATATATATGTGTGCGTCTGTACACACAGACACACACACGCGCGCGCACACATACAGATACACACGCACACACATATATGTGTGTATATGTTTATGTATATATACATATATATACACACTTGCATATATATATTTCTCATAAATATACATATGTATGTATATACATGCATTATATATATACACATTCATACATATATATACATATATATATGTAAATTTATGCATGCATACACATGTGTATATGTATACATATAGTTATATATATATATATATATATATATATATATATATATATATATATATATGCATCTATATGCATCTATATGAATATTATGTATACACACATACACATTTATATATATGCATATATACATAAATGTATATGTACATATGTATATATACATATATATGTATATATACACATATATATGTATATATACACATATATATGTATATATACACAGATATGTGTATATATACATATACATATATACATGTATAGATATATATATGTATATATATACATCCACTATATATAGGAGCTGGCTGACTCTAAGAGGAGGCCGACCACGAGCTGAGGAGGCTGACCCCGTGGAAGCTTCCGACAACATGGTCGTCTCTGTGCTGGACTGCTTTATTTTGCTGTTCCTTCTATCAGTATTTGACAATGATTTTGCCTCCTAACCATTCGTAAATACGTCGTTGTCTACTTTAGTCAAGAGAGTGTTTAATCACCATCATACCAATTTCCATGGCCATACACAATGATGAATCACACTGGACCTTGAGCCGTTTAGCGATTGGCTGTAGGCGAGAGCGTCAGCGTCTCGCTTGCTATATAAGAGGCGAATCCTGTCGTTTGGCCACGGTCGTCTGTGATTCCCGACGGATATGAAGACCCTGGTGAGTGTTGGATTTATTTGGGCGAATTTCAGTGTAGCCGATTCATTGAAGTTCATTGATTAAAGCTCACGTAGATTTAAATTGCTTTCTTTTACAAAAATGTATTATTGTAAAAACTAATTGTTTTTAGACGTATGAATTGACGAGGAAATGTCTTTCCTGCAGGTCAATGCAGTTGCCCTCCTGGCGTTTGTCGCTGTCAGTGTCAGCGGTGATGCTGAAGCTGATGCTGAACCCAGCCGCTATGGAGGTGGCTTCGGAGGCCATGGGCTCGTGTCCTACAGACCCGTGTATAGCAGCTACGGATACGGACGCTGGAAGAGGAGTGCTGAGGCTGAGCCTGTAGCTGAGGCTGAGGCTGAGCCCGAAGCTGATCCTTCCCGCTTCGGATACGGCTATGGCGGCTATGGACACGTGTCCTACAGGCCCGTGTACAGCAGCTACGGTTACGGACGCTGGAAGAGGAGTGCTGAGGCTGAGCCTGTAGCTGAGGCTGAGCCCGAAGCTGATCCTTCCCGTTTCGGATATGGGTATGGCAGCTATGGACACGTGTCCTACAGACCCGTGTACAGCAGCTATGGGTACGGACGCTGGAAGAGGAGTGCTGAGGCTGAACCTGTAGCTGAGGCTGAGCCCGAAGCTGATCCTTCCCGCTTCGGATACGGACATGGCGGCTATGGACACGTGTCCTACAGGCCCGTGTACAGCAGCTATGGATACGGACGCTGGAAGAGGAGTGCTGAGGCTGAGCCCGGATTCAGCTTCGGTCACGGTTTCGGAGGTCACGGTCGCTTCGGTGGCTACAGGGGCTATGGAGGCTACGGCGGGAGCTTTGGAGGACATGGTCGTTTCTATGGCTGAAGAATTTTGGTTCGATGAAAATGAATAAAACTGAGCAATTTCATTTGTCCTTTCTTTTTTCTTCTCACACTCACCATTTCAATTACTGTATATGACACATACAGTATGTGTAAAAATCCAGTTAGATACATATACAGTTAACATTAGCCATGCATATGAGAATTAAGAATCATAACACCAGGAATCGTGATTCCTGTAATCTGAATTCAAATTTGTGTTTCCTAGTATTCTAAACTGAAAGAAATATTAAGTTGAAAAGGTATCGATTCACAAATTCAAGACAATGCTAACACTGCAAACACATACGCAAAATGACAAAATAAATAGCTGATCGCAAAAAAAGAGAAAATACCACCAAAAAAGGAAGAGAACGAGAATGAGAAGTGTGATAAACAATATTAGCATCAAGGTAACAAAAACAATACTGTTTCATTGCGCATAAAAAGTGTTTTCTTCAGTGTTCACCGAGGAGCAGTATATACATACATACTTCACAGACATATACATACACATATACATATGTATGTATACATATACATATATGTGCGTATATATATGTGTATATACACACCTATATATAAATATGTATGTATATATTTATCCATATATATATTTACTCACATGTGTGTATATATATACATGCCCATATAAATATAAATGTCTGTATATATGTACTCGTATATGTATGTGTGCATATATGTGAATATATGTATATATACTCGTATATGCGTACATATATACATGTGTGTGCGTGAAAAAATATGAATAAATATATATATACATATATACATGAGTATATATACATATGTATAAATATATGTACATCTTGTATATATGCACGTATATACATAAGAAAAAAATATTTATACATATACATATGGATATACATGTACATAAATACATATTTTTTGTTTTTTACATGGTATTTACATCTGTATAATTATGTATATGCATATATATATAATATCCATTTATATATATATATATGTATATATATATATGCACACACATATACTATATATACTATATATACACATACCCACAGACACATACACGCACCCATTCATACATGTATGTATGTGTATGTATATATGACGAACATATAGCGGCTGTGAGAGAGATGTGTATGTGTGCGTGCGTGTATATATATACATGTGTATGTATGCATGAATGAGATGCACCTTCTGCGGCTTCGAGTGCTGAAGGAGTGCCGGAGACTACAGTGATCGGAGGCTGAAACCGAGTCGAGGCTGACAACAAGCGGAAACTGACCACTAGCCAAGGGTGACCTTGAGCAGAGGCTGACTCTAAACGGAGGTTAACCCTAGGCGGAGGCTGACCCCAAACCGAAGCTGACAATGAGCAGAGGTTGACCCTGGACGGAGGAGACTGACCCCAAAAAGAGGCCGACCCCAAGCGAAGGCTGACTCTAAGTCAAAATGGTCGTGTCTACGGTGGACTGATAGCTTAATTTGCTGTTTCTTCTATCAATATTTGACAATGATTTTGTTTCCTGACCACTTGTAAATATGTCGTTGTCTACTTTAGTCAAGAGAACGTTTAATGACAATCATCAATTTCCATGTTTATACACAAGGAAATAGTGAATAACTCTGGACACATTTCCCTAAGATGAGAACTCCAGGAAATGCAATATTGCTCCTTGAACTCAACACTTGCCCTTCGAAGCAGAGTTCCCAGCACGTGACCTTGAGCCGCTTCGCGATTGGCTGAAGGCGGGAGCGTCAGCGTCTCGCTTGCTATATAAGAACCGACTGTCGTCGTTTGGCCACGGTTGCCTGTGATTCCCGACGGACATGAAGACCCTGGTGAGTGTTGGATCTATTTGGGCGAATCTCAATGTTCAGCATTGCTATAAAGTTCACTGATGAAAGTGAAAACTCACGTATATTTAAATTGGTTTCTTTTACAAGAATGTATTTGTGTAAAAACTAATTATCTTTAGACGTATGAATTAACGTGGAAATGACTTTCCTGCAGGCCATTGCTGTTGCCCTTGTGGCGTTTGTCGCTGTCAGTGTCAGCGGCGATCCTGATGCTGAGCCCAGCCGCTATGGAGGTGGCTTCGGAGGCCATGGGCTCGTGTCCTACAGACCCGTGTATAGCAGCTACGGATACAGACGCTGGAAGAGGAGTGCTGAGGCTGAGCCTGTAGCTGAGGCTGAGGCTGAGCCCGAAGCTGATCCTTCCCGCTTTGGATACGGCTATGGCGGCTATGGACACGTGTCCTTCAGGCCCGTATACAGCAGCTATGGTTACGGACGCTGGAAGAGGAGTGCTGAGGCTGAACCTGTAGCTGAGGCTGAGCCCGAAGCTGATCCTTCCCGCTTCGGATACGGCTATGGCGGCTATGGACACGTGTCCTACAGGCCCGTGTACAGCAGCTATGGATACGGACGCTGGAAGAGGAGTGCTGAGGCTGAGCCCGGATTCAGCTTCGGTCACGGCTTCGGAGGTCACGGTCGCTTCGGTGGCTACAGGGGCTATGGAGGCTACGGCGGGAGCTTTGGAGGACATGGTCGTTTCTATGGCTGAAGAATTTTGGTTCGATGAAAATGAATAAAACTGAGCAATTTCATTTGACCTTTCTTTTTTCTTTTCACACTCACCATTTCAATTACTGTATATGTGACACATACAGTATGTGTAAAAATCCAGTTAGATACATATACACAGTTAACATTAGCCATGCATATGAGAATTAAGAATCATAACACCAGGAATCGTGATTCCTGTAATTTGAATTCAAATTTGTTTCCTAGTATTCTAAACTGAAAGAAATATTAAGCTGAAAAGGTATCGAATCACAAATTCAAGAAAATGCTAACACTGCAAACACATACGCAAAATGACAAAATAAATAGCTGATCGCAAAAAAAGAGAAAATACCACCAAAAAAGGAAGAGAACGAGAATGAGAAGTGTGATTAACAGTATTAGTATCAAAGTAACAAAAACAATACTGTTTCATTGCGCATAAAAAGTGTTTTCTTCAGTGTTCACCGAGGAGCAGTATATACATACATACTTCACAAACAGACATATACATACACATATACATATGTATGTATACATATACATATATGTGCGTATATATATGTGTGTATATACACACCTATAAATAAATATGCATGTATATATTTATCCATATATATATATATGCACACACATATACTATATATACTATATATACTATATATACTATATATACTATATATACTATATATACTATATATACTATATATACTATATATACTATATATACTATATATACTATATATACTATATATACTATATATACTATATATACTATATATACTATATATACTATATATACTATATATACTATATATACTATATATACTATATATACTATATATACTATATATACTATATATACTATATATACTATATATACTATATATACTATATATACTATATATACTATATATACTATATATACTATATATACTATATATACTATATATACTATATATACTATATATACTATATATACTATATATACTATATATACTATATATACTATATATACTATATATACTATATATACTATATATACTATATATACTATATATACTATATATACTATATATACTATATATACTATATATACTATATATACTATATATACTATATATACTATATATACTATATATACTATATATACTATATATACTATATATACTATATATACTATATATACTATATATACTATATATACTATATATACTATATATACTATATATACTATATATACTATATATACTATATATACTATATATACTATATATACTATATATACTATATATACTATATATACTATATATACTATATATACTATATATACTATATATACTATATATACTATATATACTATATATACTATATATACTATATATACTATATATACTATATATACTATATATACTATATATACTATATATACTATATATACTATATATACTATATATACTATATATACTATATATACACATACCCACAGACACATACACGCACCCATTCATACATGTATGTATGTGTATGTATATATGACGAACATATAGCGGCTGTGAGAGAGATGTGTATGTGTGCGTGCGTGTATATATATACATGCCCATATAAATATAAATGTCTGTATTTATGTACTCGTATATGTATGTGTGCATATATGTGAATATATGTATATATACTCGTATATGCGTACATATATACATACATATATACATGTGTGTGCGTGATAAAATATGAATAAATATATATATACATATATACATGAGTATATATACATATGTATAAATATATGTATATTTTGTATATATGCACGTATATACATAAAAAAAATATTTATACATATACATATGGATATACATGTACATAAATACATATTTTTTGTTTTTTACATGGTATTTATATCTGTATAATTATGTATATGCATATATATATAGTATCCATTTATATATATATATGCACACACATATACTATATATACTATATATACACATACCCACAGACACATACACGCACCCATTCATACATGTATGTATGTGTATGTATATATGACGAACATATAGCGGCTGTGAGAGAGATGTGTATGTGTGCGTGCGTGTATATATATACATGTGTATGTATGCATGAATGAGATGCACCTTCTGCGGCTTCGAGTGCTGAAGGAGTGCCGGAAACTACAGTGATCGGAGGCTGAGACCGAGTCGAGGCTGACAACAAGCGGAAACTGACCACTAGCCAAGGGTGACCTTGAGCAGAGGCTGACTCTAAACGGAGGTTAACCCTAGGCGGAGGAGGCTGACCCCAAACCGAAGCTGACAATGAGCAGAGGTTGACCCCGGACGGAGGAGACTGACCCCAAATCGAGGCCGACCCCAAGCGAAGGCTGATTCTAAGTCAAAATGGTCGTGTCTACGGTGGACTGATAGCTTAATTTGCTGTTTCTTCTATCAATATTTGACAATGATTTTGTTTCCTGACCACTTGCAAA